CCTCTCCCTCTTCTCCCCCCCCCCTCTATCTCTATCTCTTTCTCTGACTTTGCTTGTGCCAGGCATGGTTTAATTTGAGGTTATAGGGATAATTGTATATATAGTGTTCTGATGTCAGTGTGTGTGTGTGTGTGTGTGTGTGTGTGTGTGTGTGTGTGTGTGTGTGTGTGTGTGTGTGTGTGTGTGTGTGTGTGTGTGTGTGTGTGTGTGTGTTCTTGCGTGTGTGTCTGTGTGTGTACATACGTTGGTTGTGTATGTGTGATTTGTATGTTCATGTGCATATGCATATCTATGTGGTATATACAGATGTGTATAATGTACCTAAGATTCAACATAATGCTTCCGCCAAAGGATCGGTGTAGCGCTAGTTGAATTAGGATTTTGATTTTTACAACTCATGAGCTCACGTTCAGTGGGATTTACTTATTTTTTATATTTGGAGGTTTTATGCACGTCTGTTGTGCTTTTTTTGGCCAAATGAATTATTTGACTATGACTTCATAATATATTTCTAAAACAAGGACATTCTTGATTAATTACAGAACACATGAACACATTACATGTGGTTTTGGAATACTATTTACTAACAAAACTGTTGATACATCACACGCTCTCCTTTTCGACAACTTTTCTCATAAGCTCTACCCTCCCACCTCTAGCATTAGTCAAATTACTGAATAAATACAGGCCTCATATCATTAGAAAAGTTTGGAAATAAGGCTTAAAGCCATTTCCGGGCGAAGGTGAACACTGGTTTATTATATTTGTATATACATGTACATATATATATATATATATATATATATATATATATAATATATATATATATATATATATATATATATATATATATATATATATATATATATATATATATATATATATATATATATATATATATATATATATATATATATATATATATATATATATATATATATATATATATATATATATATATATATATATATATATATATGTAGCAAAGAACACAATACTGTGCGGGGTGTGGTGGCCAGCCAGCCAGCCCCGGCAAGAGAGCTTGCGGGCGCGAGCGGAGAGGCTGGGTCACTGGTCTGACCTATGAAAGTGTAGTGTCTATCTGAGGGAGAGGCAGGTCAAGCTGTGGTCGCCTTAATCAAGTGATGGGAACGTGGCTTAGGGTGCATACCAGGGCGTCCTTTCCGGCATCTGAGGGCAGCTTAAACCTGCGCTGATAAGCTCCTGGAGTTTGATCGGATCTACGGGCGTCCAGTCAGGCGGCGCTCTTCCACAGCATCCTGCGGCGACTGATACCTGCACCGACGAGTTCCTGGTTCTTCACTGGCTCTACGGGCGTCCCGGCATGCGGCGTCCTTCCACTTCATCCTGGAGCGGCATAACACCAGCTCTAACGATTCCTGGTCCTTAGGCCTGCGGCAATCTTCCGGCGACGTCCGTCCCACGGCATTCCAGGGCGAACGTGTCAGCAACAGGGCCTCCGCCGGTGCCGTGTCGGATATCAACAGTCCATCCAGTGTTTTATCGAACCAGATCATACACGTAAGGGCGACGATAGTAAGAGAAAAAGAAAGACAACAATAATAGTAATAAAAATAAATAGATAAATAAATTGTTTAACCGACTCGAAGGAGACCGTTCACCCACCCCCTCCCCCGTCTGTCGCATCTTTCTTTCCTGCTATCCTGGCCCTATCCTGTATTACTTTCCTAATGCTCATCTGCGAAACTTTCCTTGCAGCTTCAGGCAGCCGAGCGGGGCCAGAACTGCGAGATAAGTAGTCTAGAAGGTAAGAGAGCGTGCTTGCAATAATTTACGTTAACTTTAGCAATTCATTGATTGTTTAAAGGAAATTGAAGGCATCAACTGACAGTGGCAATTGTCTGCTTTCTCGAAATGTCGTATTCTTCCTAATAGTAGGTCCAGAAATGAGTACATTTCAGTTAAAAACTAAATATGATTTGGTGTGTGGTGTTACAGTGAGAATGAGGATGAAGGCAGAGAGAGAGAAGTGTGTATACAGACTGAATGAGAGAGAGAGAGAGAGACTGAGAAAGCGTGAAAGACAGAGAGAGAGGGAGAGGTTGTGTAAATTCATACAGTTATTCAGTTGCTTCAATCTTCTTTCTTCGGCTCTACAAAAATTATCCCCCTTGCAAGCAGTCTTTTTTTTTACTTATTCACGATGATCTGATAAAGACTTCTTACCATTTCGTTACCTGTAAAGCTTTATATTTTCGTACGTATGAGCTATGAGCTTTATAATTGAGAGGGAAAGAGAGGGAGGGAGGGGAGGGACGGGAGGAAGGGGAGGGTAGAGAGAGGGAGAAAAAGAGAGAGAGATGGGGGAGAGAGGAAGGGAGAGAGGGAGAGAGGGAGAAAGAGAGATAGTGAGTGTGGGAGAGAGACAGAGAGGGAGGGAAACAAAGACAAATACGGAGTTCTGCCGTCAGCTGCCGAGCCCAACGAACAAACGGAAGGCCTGGTCGAAGGTCTCAAC